ATGATGATGATGATGATGATGATGATGATGATGATGATGATGATGATTGATGCGCAAGGTTCAAGGACAGGGAGGAGAGGGCGGAACGCGCGACAGCAAACCAACCCACGGCACAGTTGCAGACACACAAGACAGGCACGACAGAACCGTGTGGAACTCACAGGCAAGGTCGTTTGGCTCCACATCGACAGGTGGCGTGACGGGCGTTGTTGTGGTCTCCGCGCGCAGGTCATCCAGACACATGAGTGTGATACCGCTTGGCGGGGGCTGTTGTGTGGGGGAATGTTGGGGTGGATGAATTTGTATGAATGAGTGAGTGGGTTGACAAAGGTACATGTGCTTGACAATGCTTGCACGCACGCAAGAAGAATACACAGGCGGTTGCCACGAACGAATAACACACAACACACACACACACACAGTGCACACACACACACACACACACACGCACACACACGCACACACACGCACACACACACACACACACACACACACACACGCACACACACACACACACACACACACACACAACACTAACGTTGGCGCGCTCTTCGTCTGTGAGCGGTTCAAACTGAATGACGGTGGTGACGTTGCAGTCCTCGGCAATGTCCATGACCTGTTGGCGCTGCGCCCGCCCGCAGACAACGGCGCGGGCCTGCGCATCCTTCAAGATGTAGCTTGATGCATCGTGGCCGAGCGTGTCGTACAGGGGAACGCAGACGCCGCCCTGGCGCCAGAGCGACAGCAGTGCTGTTGTCCAGCCGGCGCAGTTGATTCCAAAGACGGCAACAGGGGTGCCCTTGGACACGATACCGGCGTGGGTGAGGCCGCTGCCGATGCGCGCGACGTCTTCGCTCACTTGTGTGTAGGAGCGAAAGCGATAGGGCCCCGCAGTTCCGTCATCGTTCTGTTCGCGCTCTCCCATCAGGTCATTCTCCGGGAACGCGTCCACGGCCCTGTGTGGCGCAAGCAGACAAGATGCACCACGACAGGGCGTGCGTGAACGTGTGTACAGGACTGTGTGCGTATGCATGTGTGTATGTGTGTTTTACCAAGGGCGTGCTTCTGGTGTGGTCCAGGTGATTGCATGCACGCGCAACAAAAGACCCATCAGAACACACGCACGCACACACATACATACACGTTCATGCACACATGCACATTCACGCACACACACACACACACACGCACGCGCGAGAACCAAGGCCTTTGGCTGCTGTTCTGTTGCGTGGTTGCCGGCGAGCGACTCACCGTTGAAACAGGCGCCAGCAAGTGTTGACGTGTGGCTGATCCGGGAAGGGGAGGGCAATGAGCTTGTGTGGGAAGCGCCGGTTGCGAATGATTGCGCTTGCCGTCTGTGAGGGTCCAATGTTGGGCCATGGGTGGTATGATTGTTGTGGTTTGGTGAACGTTGGTGTGTGTGTGTGTGTGTGTGTGTGTGTGTGTGTGTGTGTATGTGTGTGTGTGTGTGTGCGGTTGTGAATGTTGCAGTTGCAGCAGCCACACAAAGAGAACTACGGGAAGAGCACAAGAGGAAGAGACAGACGCAAGGGCAGATGGTATGGACGAAGCATGAATATGTGCCTATCGGCAGAGTGTGAACGTTGTTTGCCTTGTTCTGCTGTTGTCATGGCATGAGCTTGATGCTCACTGCACACACACACACACACACATATGCACACACAATCCTACAATCGCACGCACACACACACACACACACACACACACACACACACACACACACACACACACACACACACATCACCTCGGTTTCGCTGTTGGGCACGATGTAGCTGATGCGCTTGAGGCCATGATGCTGGCCGTCATCGCCATCGCGGTGATGGTGATGGTGGTGGGAGTGCGTGTGACCCATGATGTCTGTGTGTGTGTATGCTTGATGAAAGTGCTTCCTGCTTTGGATGAGTGGATGGATTGATGATTGATGATGATGATGAGTGTGCTTTGCTAGTGCAACCGCTCAAGGAAAGTGGCTTCTTGTTGTGTTGCTGTTGTGCTTGCTGTGTGCTGTTATTGCTTGCTTGCTTGCTTGCTTGCTTGCTTGCTTGCTCCTTGATTGACAGTCCATCAATGGTGACAGGCGCTTTCGTGTGTTGCTTCTGTCGTCCTTCTTGTTGCTTGATGCAAGCAACGGATGATGAAACGTTCCATTTCATTCGCACATTCGCGCGCACTTGGCCAACTCCTACCTGCCAGTCAAAAACAAGACAGACTTGTTTAAGACATCGAAACCGCGCGCTGCTGTGTGAGAAGGAAGCAGCGTGCAACAACGGACAGACAGCAAGCGTCATCATCACCTCATCATTCACGAACACCCGCACACGCGAACACGAACACCACCACGAGCACCAGCAGCGATGGCGCAGCGAGGGGAAGGGGAGGCTGATGATGCCGTGGCTGTGAGGCCAGAGGACGTGCGGCAGCTGGAAGAGCGTGTCTGGAAGGAACACCCAGACCTCGCCCGCGTACGTAGCCGAACATGCATGTGTGTGTGTGTGTGTGTAAACGTGATGAACACTCTCACTGTCGCTTTGTTGATGTGCTTCTGATCATCAGCACACTCACTCACTCACTCACTCACTCACTCACCAATGCAGAGCGCGCATGAGGGCTTCTTGTCTGAGGAAACATACAGGCGGTACTTGGTGGCAAGGGAAGGGAGCGTGGACAAGGCCTACGACATGATTGTGGGCAGCCTCAAGTGGCGCAAGGAGTGGCAGCCAGAGGTGTGTGTGTATGTGTGTGTGTGTGTGCATGTGCGTGTGCATGTGCATGTGCATGTGTGTGTGCATGTGCATGTGCATGTGTGTGTGTGTGCGTGTGTGTGTGTGTGTGTGTGGGTGGGTGTGGGCGTGCGTGCGTTGATGCACTTTGCGTCCGTCAATGCCTTCTTGTGACAGGTGCTTGTGGCGCCTCTAGCATGTCCTCCCTCGTTCCAACCTCAAAACGCCCTCACTCCTGTCGAGCAAACACGCCCCCCCCCACACATCACCACTGTTCTAGAGCATCACGCCAGAGGAAGTAGAGACGGACATTGCCATGTGCAAGATGTACATTCAAGTGCGTACCCTCGACATCTCAATTTTTGTTCGTGTACAATCCCACCCACACATAGCTCAACAGTCCACCCAAGCCCGCAACTCATGCACATGCACTGACATTTGGTCTTTGCGTCGTGTCGTGTTTGCTGTCTGTGTTCTTTCGTGTATGCCAGGGGAAAGACAAGCAGGGGAGACCCGTGGTGATCTTCAAGCCCGCAAATGACGTGGACGGCGTCGGCTCCATCCTCACTAAAGTAGGCACACGCCTGCACATGCTTCACCACTGCGCACGCTTCACTTTTGCGCGGCCTTTGGTGTCCTCCCCTTCTCCCAACGCACGGCTCAGACCACCAGACTTGCCGTTGCTCACACCGCATAATGTTGTCTGGTCTTTCCTTCTGCTCCTTTTCACCTTGTGTGCATTGTCGTCATCATTGCGGTGACGCTTAGGTCCGGTTCTACGTGTGGGTGTTGGAGTCAGCCATCAAGCAGATGGCACCAGGCGTGTCTCAGGTGCGTGTGTGTGTGTGTGTGTGTGTGTGTGTATGTGTGTGTGTGTATGTGTGTGTGTGTGTGTGTGTGTGTGTTGTGTGCATCGATATTCAGGGAGGAGTCAGAGTGAGGCGGGACGATTCGCCTGTGTACACGTGTTCATGCCTTGTCACAACCACCGTTTTCTGCGTGCTCAGATGTTGTGGATCGTGGACATGAATGGATATCGTGTGGGCCCATCAGACTTGAAGGTAAGAGGCGCGCGCGCGCGCGCGCGCGCGTGTGTGTGTGTGTGTGTGTGTGTGTGTGTGTGTGTGTGTGTGTGTGTGTGTGTGTGTGTGTGTGTGTGTGTGAGTGTGTGTGTGTGTGTGTGTGTGTGTGTGTGTGTGTGTGTGGTGAGTTGCAGAGTGTGTTTCTCACGCCACACTCCCTTCTACGCTGCCACCACCAACAACAACAACAACAACAACGACGACGACGACGACACCAGCGTGCCAAGCTTGCACGTGCGCTGCTTGAGACGCTGCAGAATCAGTATCCAGAACGAGTGTGGAAGCTGGTGCTGGTGAAGCCCCCATGGTACTTTCGCGTCCTCCTCACCATCATGAAGCCGTTCGTCTCTCAACGTACACTGAACAAGGTGCATGCGCATGCGGCATGGGTGATTGGACTTCTCGTGTGTGGTTTTTGACGTGTGCCCAAGCCTCTCACACCACAGCTCACACACCTTCGCATTATGTCTTGCGCACACACCCACACACCCACACACACACCCACACACACACCCACACACACACACACCCACAACCACCCACCCACACACCCACACACACACCCACCCCCCCCCCCACACACACAGTTGGTCACAGACAATGGAAGTGGGCAGCAGTACCCACAGCTGGACGCAATGATTGGGAAGGAACAGCTCGAGACCACATATGGGGGCGTCCTCCCTGTTCCTACAGGTAGCCTCGAGGAAGCCAAGGAACAGCTGGCTCAGGCGCAGGCACAGGCGCAGGCACAGGCGCAACAACAACCGCGCACACAAGACAGGGAGCAAGGTGATGCGGGCGCCAACAATGACGATTGGAGAGGTGCATGGAGGCAGCACAAGCAGGACAGCGGACTGGGCGGTGTGCGTGAGGCAATAGCTGCGGAGCAGTCAAGCCGTCAGCGCACCAGTCCCGATGACGAAGATGATGGTGGTGATAGTGCGCTTCATAGTGATGCCGATGATGGTGACGAGGTTGTGATTGTTCGTATGCTGCAGGCCAGCTTCTCCTCCACAGCCACCGTGCATCGAACGCACGTGTGAACGCGGGCAGTGGAGGTGTGATGTGATACAGATACAGATCTGCACGTTCCACACCCCTCAGTGCTTCCAGTCCAACAAACACGTGGCAGACAAACATAAACAAACAACAAGAATGACGCAATCAGGAATCGTGACGACTGGCGATGACGGTGATGATGACGAGTGAGAGAAAGTGGTTTGGGTTGGCGGTCAAAGCCGTGGTCGCGGCAGTTGCGGTGGCGGTCCTGGCTGCGGCCTGGACAGCGTATGCGCCGTTTGTGCGGGACGTCTCCACGATCGCAGCCTCTGCGCTGGCAATGGCAGCGTGCAACGCCGACAGAGTGCAGGGCACCGCCACGGAGCCGCTGCTAAAGTTTGAGGTGGACCAGGCACCACTCAGCTTCGGCAGCGTGTGGCACGATGCAGACCTGCAGTCGTACGAGGCGCGGTTCCTTGCCGCCAACGCCTCCGCCGTGTACGTGAGCCGCCTGCACGGCTGCGTGCTGCAGCCGCTCTCGCCGCACATGCAAGCTGCCAGGGACCTGTACCACCGCGCTGTGTCTGCGGAGAGCGAACAAGACGCAGCCGAGGTGGGAGCGCTGCAGGCTTTGCTGGCGCAGCTCAGGCCAGGCGGCCCTCGCCAAACGCAAGCACACACCGCAGATAAGGACAAGGAGATCAGCAGAGGCAGCAGGAAGAGCGGCGAGAGCCAGGCCGACGACCATCGCAGCAGCAGCAGCAGCAGCGATGTTAACGATGATGCTAACGATGATGATGATGGCACTGGGTACTTTGGTGACACGGCGCTGTGCAGTGACGATGAGCGGCTGAGCGAGGAAGAGATTGCGGCGTTGCAGGCCATCTTCGATGCGGAGATCAAGCGTGGAGAGCAGCAGCAGGAGCACACCCGCGGCCTCGCAGCCGTGCACTGCGGCAAGCTGGTGGCGGAGTCGTACGCGTCCTGGCTGAACATCACGGCAGACAGCGCCCAGCTCGGCTGGTCCATGAGCAAGAGCGTGCTGTCCACGCTCATTGGCGTCGCTATCGGGGAAGGCCGCATCAAGCTGGAGGACCTGCTGGACCTGGACATGGACGAGAGCGTCGACAACGACCTCATCCAGCTGCGCCACCTCCTGCACATGGTGGACGGCCTCGACTACAACGAGCACTACTGCATGATCAACGACCCCGCGCGCATGCTGTTCCTGGAGCGGTCCACGGCCGGGTTTGCGCGCAACAAGGCGCCCGCCCATCTGCCTGGCGAGCGTTGGTGCTACAACAGCGGGGCCACTAACTTGGCCAGTTGGATGCTCCGCCAATCTTTTCCCTCCTGGTGGGACTACTGGCGCTTCCCATACGAGAAGGTGAGGGCTTTCTATTGGATTGAGTGTGTGTGCATGTATGTGTGTGTGTGTGTGCATATATGTGTGTGCGTGCAGGCATGTGTTTGTACATGTATGTGTGTGTGTGTGTGTGTGTGTGTTGGGGTGGGAAAGGTGACAGTCTGCATTCCGTTGCATCTGCCCGCATGCATCTGCCCCCCCACACACACACACGCACACAACCGACAACCGACACAATCAAGCCCACCACCACATCAGTTCTTGTGTCTTGTGTACCTTGTGCCTCACCACCCATACTTCTCATCCCTCAACTGCTTGTATCAGCTGTTTGCACCCATTGGGGCAAAGTCGTTTGTGCTGGAGACGGACAGCGAGGGCATCTTTGTTGGCAGCAGCTTTGGGTTTGCCACCGCCCGCGACTGGGCACGTTTCGGAGTCCTCCACTTGCAGGTGAGTTTGCCATTCAAGGGAAGGGAGAACCTTGGACATGGAGCATGTCTTAGAGCAACTTGGTTTCATGATCCCGTCACATCACTCCACTTGCGCACCTTCTAACACGTACACATATAAAACACACGTACACACACACACACACGTACACACACACACACATTATACACACACACACACACTTGTGTTGCAGAATGGAACTTGGCGTGGAAGCCGCGTGGTTCCTTCGCAGCCAGACCCATATCCAACCACATATGCATTCAATGACGGCGTGTTCGCGGACGGCTGGTGGTACCCGCCACAAGGGCATGCAAACATTACACGCCTCAGGGAGGATCCAACAAACGCATGCTTGGTGAAGTACCTCGAAATGTGGGGCTGGGCCACAAATGTGTTGCCTGCAGGCACGGCCTTCTCCGCAGGATACAAAGGACAATACATATTTGTTGTCCCGCCCCTGCACCTTGTGCTGGTTCGTCTCGGCAATGGCTGGCAGGATGAGGTTCGCAACAGCGTTGTCAAGCAAGTCTTAGACACCGTGACGCGCGCCTCTGCATCACCTTCGCACAAACAGGCGGTGCAATGGCAATGAAAGCAGCAAATCTGCAGGCACAGGCACAAACTACACCACACATGGCACAAATCACTTGCTGTCTCATCTCCGCACGCGTGAGCACGTGTTACAATGATGGCTACAATCGTTGCTTGGTGGTTTTATTGGTCAGGATTAAAAGTGAACAGGGTAAACCACTAAGCAGGAACCCAATACAGAAGATGCAGTGAGGGAGGGGGGAAGTTGCAAGCGCGTACTTGTTTGCTTGTGGCGTGGTGCATGCCAATGCACCAGCCAGGACGTCAGAAG